AAAAAAAAAAAAAAAAAAAAAAAAAAAAAAAAAAAAAGACTGATAACTGCCTGGAATTGGTTCTAAATATGTTTTCTGAAATCACGACAAAGTAAATCTAATCTCCTTTCTAGGTAATAGTTTTTCAAGTCATTAAAAGCGTATATTCTCAAAACAAGAATGTTGTTTTCTGTACAGAACTTAATCTGACCTTTATTAAATTTACTTGTTAAAACTCTTCACTTTGAAGCTCATTTCTTCTAAACAAGTTTAGTCTGTAGATAACTCTTTGAAGACAATATTCCAAGAAATGAATAATCTGCAAAGGAGGTAAAAAGGAAGAAAAGTCTCTAGGACAGATAAGCATAACAAATTAGGAGTATACCACTTCTCTCTGGAAGAAAAGAACCTTCAAAACAAGAAAACACCCACCTTCAGTGTCACAGAGACACCGAAACAAAAAAGGGACAAACTGATGACCAGAAAAAGCTAAGAAGCTGGGGTCAGGAAAGCTAAAACCTAGGAATGATAGGGTCAAACTAACCTGAACCCTGACCTTGACCACAGGGCAGACTATACCCACATTAAATAGCCTATGCTAATTCCCTCTTTGCTATAAAGGTCCTAAACACACACACACGGATTTCCTTTGAGACAAAATACATAGCATGACAGAAAGTTCATTTCCTTGTCAGCCTCTGTCACAATGAGAAGACAAAGGTGCTAGTGCTGGTTGTGCTCTGCTCCCATAGTAGAGTACTGCTGAAGGTTGCTGATAAAGGAGCACTATGATGAACGCTGTATTTTAGAAAAGAGATTATGATGGTACAGAGATTCAGGAACTGCAGCAGAAAGCAAGAGTCTTGAGGCTATCAAGTGGAAGAATAACTTGGTCACAGTGAGGTAACAGTAGTACAGGCAGGATGGATTCTAGACAAGATGAAAGGAAAAACAAAATCTGGGAGCTGATAGAATTGATAGAACTTAAATGATTAAATACAAAGCATAGGGGCCAGGGAGATAGCTCAGTAAAATAAGCGCTTGCCTGGCATGCACAAGGGCCTGAGTTCAATTCCCGGTTCTGCAAAACAAAACAAAACAAAACAACAACAACAACAAAAACAAAGTATAAAAGTAAAAAGTGTCTAAAATAATTTAATATTTGACTTAAGAAATTATGGAGGGAGGGTTATGAAGAGATGAAGGCCATTAGAGAAACTTCTGAGGAAAGATAATAAACTCAGAACTTATTTTTCCTTTTTGGTTCTTAATGTTTTTGGAGTGTATGGATGAAACCCAGGGCTTTGTGTATACTAAACAAGTGCTCTACTGCTGAGCTACATCTTCAGACCTAAGCTCAACACTTTTTAAAATTTTTTTTAATTTTTTAATATTAATTTTATTCAGAAAGAAGTAGCAATGAGACAGTTTCAAAACAGGTTAGTAGGACAGTTACAATAATTAGTACATTGCATATTGTTGTCCTTGTAGTAGTTATTCATAGTACAAGATGCAGACATGATATCTTGTCTAAACACTATTAGTTCAAAACTTTCTTCTCATTGAACGAAGAGAAGGTAGCTATATATCTATGTTAACTATTTATTTTTATTTTTTTTCCGTAATTCTATTGAGAAACAAATAGCAATGAGACAGTTTCAAATCAAATTGGTGGGACAGTTTCAATAATTAACACATTGCATACATTCTTCCTAGTGGTTAATTACTGTACAAGATGTGGACATGATATCCTATTTACAAACACTATTAGAACAAATCTCTCCAATCATTAAGAGAATGTAACTATATATCTATTCTAACCATTTTGAATACACAGATACAAAATGGAAATTTATCTGTATCCCCTTTTTTCTTTGTTTAGTTCCATTATTTTAATATTATAGGTGTGTTAACTCAGCAAAATATTCTAAAGGAGTCCAGTAGCCCATAATAGTACTGGGTCTTCCGTTTAACTGGCAATGTCAGAAATTGTTGACCTGAGTCCCCTACAGCTCAACATAACAGCATGACTTTACTTCTTATATTTCATTTTTATACTTTTCTGCTGGATGGTTAAGACCAAGGTAAAGTAGGACCTATGCAACAAGAGTTGTAGCTTTTAGGTCTAATAAGGTCAGTGAAATCCCCTCAGGATTTATCCTGAGATGCTGTCTCTCAGATAGATGGTTATTCAAAATGAAGGGGGTGGTGAATGAAAGCAAGAGACAGAAAAAGGAATATTGTGGGACTGTCCTGCTTCAAGGTTGTATATGGTGAGATTTTTGGACTTATGTGTAAACATAAGAAGGATATAATTCTTTATGCCTATTTTTAAAATATATTCTAATTTTTAAATTTTTTTAAGTCATATTCTGTAGGGACTTGAAGTTCAACATATCAACACTTGATGAAAAATACCTGTTCCATGTTATGCCTTAAGATGTTTGATATTCAGACAGGTAGTGAGGTTAAGCTTAACAGCCTAAGTTGTATGGTAATAACAATAAGCTTGTCTTCTGGATGGTTAACAACCTAAGTTTGCAGACCAAAATTAGAGAAAAAGGAGGGCCACAAGGAAAGTCAACATTTTGGCCCTAACCTTCTAAGGTCAATTAAGACTCAGGACATATGAGAACTTGTACTGTAATGTCATGTAACTTGGTAGTGTCCCAAATTTTCTGATCAAAGAGATTATGAGGTCAAAGAGGAAAGTGATCGATGATTTAGAGTGTACCTAAGGAGAGTCACATGGAGAGAAAACATTCTCTCAGGCTTTCACAGAGGGCACATTGGCCAAGCAATGGCCGTGACTCATCCACATGGCTGACAGTGACAAAGGTTCTACAATCTGAGGTACAGGATCTCAGGATAAGCTCAATACTTTAAAGGATGACACTGAGGTGCTCACAGGACATTTCACGATAGAGATCTGGTTAGCAGTTGAGACAAAAGACTAGAAGCTTAGCAAGGAATTGAGAAAGTAAAACAGATCACTTATACTACTAGAATTGCATGAAATGCAGATTCTTTATCCTTGAACAGAAACCAAGGACACAATTACAATTTTTGATGTTTTAAAATAAAATTTGAGAGTACTTGGAAAAAAAGAACGAAGAGGAACCCATGGGAAATCCAAAAGGATTGGAGAAAGACAAAAAATGTGAACAAGAAAAAGACTAGATGAAATGATAGTAGGAACACAGCAATAAAAACAGCTGAAGGAGCAGAGTAAATGTCATGACTCTATCCTTTAGATTACCTGCTATAATACCATCCATCTGTTCCAGCGCTGCAGCCAACATGTCACTTGCATCACTCATCATTTTCTTGTTTGTCAAGGGTAAATTCCAACTTAGATCTTAAAAAAAAAAAATACTGTTATCATTATCTGCTTTAATTTTGCAGGATTACTACTGGGTTAGTTGAACCTTAAATTATAATTCCACTTAAAGCCCAATATATAGAAAAAGAACTTTAGTAATGGAGGAGCTGAATTAACGGAATTATTTAATAAGCCACGGACAATGTCTTACTGTGCCATAATATCACATGTTATACCTGTCTCAGTTAATAAAAGTACTGGAAATGGCTGGGGTATAGCTCAGAAGTAGAGTTTGGCTAGTGTGCACAAAGACTTGGGTTCAATTGTCAGAACTCTAGTACATAAATAAATCCAACAGAATGGCTAGAGTTCAATAAAGGTTATCAGGGAGGGCCATGTTTGAAACTTTTTCAGGGTATGAGAGATGCTCAAGGACAAGAGTAAATGTCCTATAAGCCTTATCCAAACCTTGCTCTCTTAATTTTTGCTTTGCTTTTATTAAATTTCTACAAGATTTGTCTAGGAAATGGGTTCATTAACATACAAACTGCTGTCCTTTGGCATCTGTGGGAGGTGAATACAGGAGTACATTAGACAGCAAAATCCACTGATGGTCAAGTGACTTATACAAAATGGTATACTCCTGACAGAATCTACCCACATCCTCCTGTACACTTTATATCATCTGTATATTAAAGTGCTCCAATGAAAGACAGGGACAGTAAATAGTTGTCAAGTTGTATTGTTTACAGATTAATAACAAGGGAAAAAGTCTACACATGTTTAATAGAAATGCCATTTTTTTCAAACATTTTCGCTGTGCAGTTGGTTGAATCTGTGGATATAAAGGGCCAGCAATATTCTACACACGTATGCACATGCACACACACACACACACACACACACACACACACTATTCTGTACTTACTGCTATTCTTTAATATAGTAATATCATGTCTTGAGTGTCTAAATTGGTCCTTACATATTTACACAAATTATCTATAATCTTCAATCATGACAACATCCTGATAAAATGAATAAATATATCCCTCTATTTTATTTTATTTTATTTATTTTTTTTCTTTTCAAAGTTTTATTGATAAACATAAAGCAATGAGACAGTTTCAAATCAAATCGAAAGTACAGTTTCAACAAATAATACACTGCATATATTCTTCTTAGTGGTTAATTGCTGTACAAGATGCAGACTTGTAAGATCCTACTTACAAACACCATTAGAAAAAATCATTCTATTCATTATGAGAATATCCCTCTATTTTATAAATAAGGGCTAAAATATTTCATATTTGCATGGAAATACAGCAAAATCCAGATTTTAATGTAGGTCTCTTGACTTCCACAATAATGATGATTTCTTTTTTTAGTCTTATGTCAAGGATAGATTGATGTATTCTGAAATCATGTCACAAGTTACTCATAATTTTGCCTGTTAGAAGATATATTAAAATTATACTTGCAAAAAATTTGGTCAATAACAAATTTTCATAGAGGAAAACAAATCCGGATGTTGTTATTTGTCAACATTAAGTAATCCATTTCAGATATGGATAAGGTAAAGGTTCATCCGGTTTCTCTCAACCAGTCTGAATACAGCCACTGCTACTTTGCCAGTACTGAGGTACATTCATTACCTGGTAACCAAAGGACACACTGTTTAACAGAAACCTTTGCTCTCTGTTACCAAGCAGCAAGAGCTCACTGATCATTCTAGCTTCACAGATATAGTTATAGCTCTGGTATCTCCTTTTCCCCCTCTCTACTATGGATTTATTCTAATAAAACATCATGTAATTACTGTGAAATAGTTATTTTTGATAGTATTAGCTTACAGGAAGCACAAGCAGGTAAGTATTTGATAAGCAAATTGCTTCAAAATATTTGAAGGCTATACTTTGATTTTAGAGTAGTTTCATTTAAGGATTCTGTAAAGTTTACCCCAGAAGGTGAAAAATATGACGACCATTTATGTGGAAATAATACAGTACAAAATTCACAAGATATATGTTAACAGCCAGAAACCAAGGGGTCAACAAACCAGGTTATGAACTTAGGTAGTTGTAAAAATTTGATCTGCACTTTCAGATAGTTCACAGTCCAAAGAAGTAGAGCATAAATTTAATAGCCACACCATAGACTGGAAAATAAACACAAGAAGTGAAAGCATAAAGCATTATTAGGAAGACGTATGTAAGCATTATTAGGAAGACTGCATACATTTCTTTTTTTTTTGCCATAGTTTTATTGATAAACAAATAGCAATGAGACAGTTTCAAATCAAATGGGTAGGACAGTTTCAATAATTAACACACTGCATGCATTCTTCTTAGTGGTTAATTGTTGTACAAGATGCGGACTTGATATCCTATTTACAAACACCATTAGAACAAATCATTCTATTCATTAACAGAATGTAACTATATATCTATCCCAACCACTTTGAATACACAGATACGCGTACATTTCATATAATTCAGTGACTTGCTTTCCTTTTCACCTTAAAATGAGCAATACATACACATACAATTACATATATATGTATAAAACAAATACAAAAGACTCAGTTATAATCTTAGCAATATCAGTTAAAAAAGAAATACTCATATCAGAAAAGCATACCACCTCACTAAATTAGAAAATCAAATACTCATCTTTGTTAGCAGCTGTATTTTGTGAAGAATATAAAATCCTTTTCAAGCATGAAGGTAGTTAACCCATTTGCCTGTGTTTTGGTCAGTGAACCTTCCAAGCACTATGTCATAGATGTGTAAAACAATGTAAACCATGCTTGTCCGAATGTTGAAGAATAACTTTCTTAAAAGTCTTCCAATTCACTAGACATTATTACTTTAATATAATTAAATGATAGTATATTCATTGCAATAAGTTTATAACTGCTTGCTGACTCACAGTTAAGCAGGGTTGTCAGCTTTAGAGCCATTCGTTCCCTGGAAAAAAGACAGCCACTTTAATAAGTGGTTCTGGGAAAATATCTGTCTAACTGCCAAAGACTAAAAGTAGACCCGTATCTATCACATGCATGAAAGTCAAAACGCATTAAAGGTCTCAATATTAAAACAGAAACAGCAAATCTACTTGAAGAGAAAGTTAAGTGGAAGTTTTGAAGACACGGATGTACATAGTCCATGAACAAAAAATAAACTGCAGGGGAAATACTTCAAAGAATCAACAACTGGAATCTGAGCTTACTAAAAACCTAATCATTTGTAGTTATTCTCCTGTTTACAGCCTCCCAAGTGTTGGGATTGCAAGCGTGTGCCACCACACCCAGTCTCAATTGCTGTCTCAGTGCACCCCAGGGGTGGTGCCCGCATAGCAGACCTGGGGATCAAACTCCAAGCCCTTAATTCTGCCTAAGCTGGCCCTTTAATCTGCTGAGCTATTTGCATTCATATACTTAAATGGCAATGGAATACTCATCTCTGACAAAACTAAACATAAAAAGGGGATACAAATGAAGGACCATTTTGTATCTGTATATACAAAATAGTTAAGATGGATATATAGTTACTTTCTCTTAATTCAATAAGAAAGATTTATACTAACAGTGCTTGGACAAGATATCATGTCTGCATCTTGTACTACGAATAACCACTATGAAGACATATGCAATGTATTAATTATTGAAACTGTCCTATTAATTGGTTTTGAAACTGTCCTACTGCATTTGTTTCTCAATAAAATTAGTAATAAAAAATAAAATAAAATAATTTAAAAAACCAAAATGGGCATTCTGGATCAAGTCTTTAAATTAGAATTTAAAGATGAATATATACTTCTCAGATGAAGAACTACAAATAGAAAATAAATAGGTGAAAAAATGTTCAACATCATTGGTCAATCAAGAGATGCAAATTAAAACAATACTGAGATTCCATGTCACCAGAAATATTGGCTATTATCAAGAAAACAACCAATAACAAATGTTGGAGGGGCTGGGAAAAAGGAACTCTTCCTTACTGTTGGTGGGAGTATACACTGGTGAATCCACTATGGAAATCAGTGTAAAGGTTCATGAAAAAACTAGGATTAGAGGTCCCATTTGATCCAGCTACTCCCCTTCTGGGAATTTTCCCAGAAGAATTAAAAACATCACATTGTAGTGATATATGTATGCACATGTTTACAACAGCACAATTTGTAGCAGCTAGATCTTGGAAACAGCCCAAATGTTCATCAACTGAAGAATAGATTAAAACAGATGTTGTCTTTTCATACAATGGAGTACTATTCAGGCATAAAGAAAGATAAATTTGAGACTCATATAGGTAAATGGAAAAGAAAATAAATCAGCATGTGTAAGATTGTATTTTCTCCCTAGTATAAGAACGTGAAAATGTAAATAAGATCCAAAATATACAGTATCTATTGGAAAATGCAAAGATGCTGTTCATAAGAAAAGATAAACGGGAATGGGGGATGGGGGAAAGAAGAGAAAAATAAAACACACACATACACATGCATTAGGATAGCTATGCTGCTAATTTCTTTTAATTTTTCTGGTACCAGAGATCAAACTCAGGACCTTGTGCTTGCCAGGCAGGTATTTATGCTGCTTTGCTATTAATTTTATTAATTTACTTAAAAGAAAGTTTGCACTTATATTGTTTCATCAGTTTTTCCATGCATATAATTTATAATCTGAGCAATTACTTTGACTTGTTATTCTCCTATGATCTTATTTTGAAATTTTGTCATTTTTTTCTTTAAAATATCAATAAATAAAACAAACCTGTCAGACATTAACAATCTAAATGTCAATCTTGTTTTTTATTTTAACTAGGAAAGAACTATCAATTTTCAGCTAAATGCTGAAAGCATAAAATTAGTTCAAATCCTGCTAAATCACACACTCCTTTAAAACTTATATATAAATAGGCTTTTCCACCTTAAAGCCAGCCAACTGTGACTTAAGTTCCTATGCTGGCCAACTTGTGCTCTTTTAGAAAATGTAAGGGGTGGCACCAAGAATATGAAGTAGTAAGCAGCAGAGAAGA